CCCGGCACGCCAGCGGGAAGGGAGATTTTGGCCAAGGGCAGAGGGGCAAGGCCACTCGCCAAGGAAACTGCCAGCGGATCACAAATGCCCAGATAGGGCAGACAGACAGCATTCGGGTTTCAAGGTCCCATCCAAAAGACCCACCCACAGCCAGCGGCCGGAGCCTGTTTGTGTAGCTTGGAAAGGGGAAGGGCCAGCGAAACTTTGCCATGGCTCCAGGGAGTCTAGTTATTTCAGCTGCGATGGCTGGAACACAGAGCCCTGCGCTCCCGATTGCTAAGGGAACAGCCAGAACAGCATCCCCAGCATCTAACCAGGCGGCGGCAGGGTGAATCGACACCATCTGGTAGGTGAATCAGCCTGCAGACAACTCGCTGGCAGCTCTGCAGAGAGGCCCCAAGTCGGAGGTGAGATGAAACACGTGCTCGCTGCACCTCCTTGCAGCCATCCTGCTGCACCTGTGTCACTGCAGCAGCTCCCTTAAAAATACCGTGCGAAGACGCCCACGCAAACAGCAACACGCGGTTTCGTCCCCCTCCTGCGCTTGACCCACCGGCTGCACCCAGCGATCCAGGGCACAACACTTGCCTGGGACGCCAGAAGTTCAGATCTTCAGAAAGCAACTGCAGCTGAGGAAAAGGGGCTAAAAGGGCCCCAAATCCCGCTGGTGTGGATGAGATTCTGCTCTGTGCTAAGGAGAGCTGGATTAGCTCACGATAATGTTCCTCTCCAGCCTTAACAATTTAAGGGAGAGAGGAGAGGAAGGAGAAGCAGCAGCAAATCACAGAAGGAAGTTGGAAGATGGAAATTAAAGCAGGCTGTGTTTTACTTAAGCCACCCCTTCCTGCAAAGCCTTGGTGGGTAGACGGCACAGCAGCCTCCTCTGTCTTTGTCAGCATATCCCAGCCCTGGTTATCCATATCCAGAAACAGTCCAGCCCTGAGCACCTCATAATCTTAAACGAGATCCAATTCTGACCTCAGGACTGCAAATGCAAAGGGAGAACATATTCAAATGAATAAGCCACCAAATTCCGGTGTTTAATTTATAACCAGGGCTCGAACTGCATTATGCAAACAAGCCTTGTGGCACAGGACGTTACACTTGTACCAGGAATGTCCCTGATATGAGGCAGACCTAGGCCGAGGTGTACAATGCAGTGAAAGGTCACTTCCTGCTGCTCTTTCTCTCTGGCATCCGGCCAGCACCACATCACTACAGGTACCAGCAGAAGCCAGCCTGATCTTCTGCCAGGAAGCAGAAGCAGTTGAGCAGTTATCATCTGCCCGGTGTCCCACCCGCCTCTACACCTGGATCAACACTGCTCCCTTCACCCTTGCTCAGACACCACAGCTTGGCAGCAAAATTGCTGAAGGTATGGCTTTTTGGCCGAGCAGTCAAAGAGGAATGCTACGTATTCCTCTGTGAATTACATCCATCTCAAGACGGTGCCTCGTTCCAAGAGCAATGCAAACCCTAGCGGCGCCTCAGATGCTCCACAGTGAGGAAGGCAGGAGAAACACCACCAGCAAGGACATTCAAGCGCATCTCACCTGTGCACGGACCAGCGACTCAAAGCTGGGTTTGAAGTAATCAATGCGGCTGCTATAGAACTTGGGCATTTCCTCCAGGAGCTGCTTGTTTTTGGCTTCAAAGTCCTCCTTCACTGGCCTTAGCTCTTCCCGGGCCTGGGAAACGAGACAGGAGGAGGAATCAGATGCCTGGGAAATCCCCTTCCCAGAGCAGCCCTGCAGGAGGATGGCCAGGGGCTGCCCCAGGCCCATGGACCACTATGCTTTGACCTGAGGACAACCAGTGACTGCCTAACAGAGCCCGGCGAGACCCAAGCTCCGGCCTTGGGCGACGGAGAAGGCCGCAGGATGCCTAGAGACGCCGCTGCAGAGGAGATCCTGAGCCAGCTGGGTTTTCCCCTTTAGAAGAACAGGGACAAAACTGACCCAGAGCTCAGCCAGGCTGGAGAACATCCCCAGTGGGGCTGGCCGTGCGGGTGCTGAGCCTCCGCGGTCCTCGGGACCGTGCCCCTTCCCCAGGCCCTGCGATTCCCAAGAATATCACCAGGGGAGTCTGCCCCCACCTTCAGCGCTGCCTGTGACCTTCAGCTTAGCGAGTCCAACTGGCTTCTTTAAACAGAAGCGTGGGGAGAAAGGGAAATGTCTCTGAGATGGTGTGGAAAAGGGCAGGAGGGGGTGGGCTGTGAAATATTAGAAAGGTTAAAAGCGCAGCCGCCGAGCCTCGCTCTCGGGGCGCGCGCCGGAGGGATGGCACAGACACAGCTCCGCGCCTGGAAAGCCTGAAATCATCTCAGGCTTAAGTAGGACTGAGAGGAAAATGAGCAAATTCATTGTCTGACACAAAACAAGCTACTCTGAGCTGGAGAGCGTTTAAACTCACGGGGTGGAGTTAATGTGGGACGCGTCCAGCAACGAACAGCAGAAGACTTTGAGCAAACAGCTCTAAAGGGAAAATACATATTTACAGTTCGATAGAAATACCTTGATGAGATTACACTATTTCCCATCAAATAGGTGGACCTCTCAGATTTCCCAGGTTCAGGATTTCTTAAGAGCAGCTCTGGCTCTAGCAAGTGTTTAAGCTCACATTTTGGTTAGTTAAGATCTTTGTTAGAGGCGGGGGGAAGAATTAGATCACACTGAAGTTCATTAGGGGAAAAAAAATAAATAACTAAAACCTGCTTAATCACCAGGACAAAAGAATTCACATTTTCCAGCCACAGCTTTAGTCACTGAGGCTAAGCAAAGTAAGCTGCTTACTATTAAATCTGAATTCTCTTTTGTTAACGCTGATAGTGCTATTCTTTAACACAATACTTAATTCTGTGAAGACAGTGATCAGAAAATACATGTTCTTTGACTCTGAGGAAGTCAACTGCTCCTTCGAGGATCAAGCAAACATTCTGCAGGAGCGACAGATTTTGGGAGGAATGCTAGTGAGGCTTTAATTAAAAAAGTAATCATGATTTTGTTAAAATTTTGGAAAGAAAAAAGAATTTGGCAAAGCTTCCTGTTAACCAATTACTGCAATTTTCCAAGACTAATTTTTGTAACAGGTGGCAAATATAAAGAATTGAAATGCTCTGATCTTTTTCTTTTTATACACAGCTGTTTGGTCAGACGCTGAGGTCAAGGGGAATTCCACACTCGCTGACTTCAGAGCTAGCAGCTCTTACAGGGGTTTTCAGTTCCTGGGGGCTTTATTTTGGAAAGCAAAAGTTCAGCTTGCTTCTGTCCCTCTGCTGAGTGCTGCAATTTAACTTCATTTTTATCGAGCCCTGTACGTGTTAATTTTATATCGAAAAACGCACCCTTTCACAAGGTCAAGCGTGCCAACTAGGATTTCACGGGGTCTCAGCGCAGATACCAAACACGGGAGGACAAAAGCTCTTCCCGGGTACGGCCCGCAGGAGCGCAGGCCGCCGCTGGGCACTGCCAGCACATCCCCCTTGCTCCGCTGAAACGCCCCAAGCCCTGGCACACGCTTCCAGGATTTCGTTTGTGGCCCCTTCGGGGAATTTCCCCGTGTTTTCAGTCCCTGCAACAGCTCTGTACCTGGTGTAGCTTAGCGAGGACAGGGCCGGTTTTCTCCTTCTCTTCGTACTTCTCCACTTTGGACTGCAGGCGTTTGTAGTCTTGCAGAGTCTGCTCGCGTCTCTTCACCGCCATGTTCAGGCTGGGGAACACACTGCTAAATCTGCCGGGGTTGAAAGCACAGAAGGGCCTTGAGCAGGACAGCCCGGCCGGATGCAACGTTAAAGACGCGCCTGCTTGGGCAATGCCCTGCCTGAAAGCCCAATAATGCGGAAAGGTGATGGGCAGAGCCTCACGGCACCTCCTGGAGCAGAGCTTGGTAGAGCTGCTGCTACCGCTACAGGACAGTCAGAGCTGGGGAAAAGTGCCACCGTCCCAGCGCAGGTGCCACTGGATTTGAAGCGCGTCAGGCGCCATCGAGCCTACGTTACAAGGCACTACAGGGCTCCTGCAGCCTCTGACAGCTGCGCCGCGCGCTTGCACGCGCAACCGCCAAGGGCCAGGCGATGCAAACAGAGAGAGGAGCGCGGGGAGATGCTGGGCGGC